CCAGCAGTTCCTTCTCTGAGGCCTATTGGCCCAATATAATCAACATCAATTTTGTTTCGTTTTTTCTCATAAAAACTAGCTGTGGTTTTTGGGTGATGGGAAAATAGCAGAATGGAGAGTTGCCCATTCCCACTCATCAGGAACCTTCTGGGACAAACACAAATCTCACTCCAGACAGTAAAGGCTTGGGGTGGGCCAGAAATCCTTGCTCAAAAAAAGCAAATCCACCCACTATTAGGTCAGCCAGGGCAGTTCTCCCAGCGGATCTTCTTCCATGGAATACTATGAGCAATATGTTGTCTGTTTTCAAATAATAGGATGTTTCATGTCTAAAAATGGATTACTCGGCATAGCATTAATTCTTGGCTGAAAAATATTATGTACCTGGAGGTAGAATTGGACTGAAGATAAACTTGTCGAGTTTTATGTACTCTGCTGTTTTAAGTAGAATATACTTGTTTTGTCCATTTTTCAATATATGTATGAGTCCCCTGTTCCCAAATAATGCCACCCATGCTTGAAGTCAAGACCATCCAATTATATTCCATGTCCCAGTTAGAAAGCTGTCATTGAGATAGCCCCACTGCAGTGATTTCCTTTCATCCTCAAGATAGAAGGAAAAATGCCATTTTGACAACTGTATCCCCCCACTGTTGTTCTATGCCTCAGAAATAAGGCTCATAAAGTCGCTGCACTTTCTTCCAGATGTCAGCGATGCTCTCCAGAAAGCTGCCAGGATGGGAACAAGAGGAAAGATAACAGCAGCACTGCCATGAGAAGAACAGGAGAGAAAAGAGCTCCACCCCTGCCCCTTTACTCTATCCCTCTGCTCATACACGTGGAACAGTTTTCCCACAACTGCTTTTCATTTTCTATCCATATCAAATTGAAAGGAAAGGAGATACCACTAGCTTTTCTGCACCTCAATTCCTTCCAGCTGATTCTGGGCATCACTTACTATCAAACTATTTGGAGAAATTGAGTTTGCTAAGTAAGGGTCCTTCCCCAATGTAGATTCTGGAATTTTCTTGCAGCTGTGTTTTTATACCTTTTGTAATTAGTATCCATGTATGGGAAAGAGAGAGAAATGAGAAATGAAATCCTTAAGATATTGTGCTAATTTTTCTAGAATAAACAAGCAGAACTGTAAGATAAGTAAAAGTTGCTAGTGAAGTCCTGCTATCTCCTTACTGGTGGGAATACAGTGTAGGGACCAAATTTTGATTTTCCATGTGGCAAATATTCCTCTCACTATACCACAAAAAAGAAAGAAAAGAGACTGCCCTGGAGAGCAACAATACAGTAAAAATGGCTATCAACAGAGGCAAAGAGCTCAATCACCAGATGGAAGAGAATGGTCCTTCAGCCATCCATCAGAGCTCAGCAGTTCATTGACCCTTGGAAGACAATTCTGCAAATTGACACAGAATGCCTACATAGATTGCCTCAGAAAATTCCATTTTCCTGCTCGGTCATCTTGAACTGCCTTCCATCTGCCTCAGCAGCTGTTAGGCAACCAGATGTCAGCTCAAGAAATGACATGTAAACCATCTTGGAATTGGGATTAGAAGGCTTATAGTGATGAGCCCAGGGAACAACCTATGTTCAGAGCTAAAGAATAAGAATTAAATGCTGAAGAAGTACAATTTTGAGTTTCTTCTTTGTAAAAGATATTGCACATTTGTCTTACCATCTCTGAATTAGAAACTACTTTTCTAAACAATTATGATCAATTGCTTAAAAAAATAAACATGGTTAAAATATATCTTGCCATTTAACACCAAATGTCTTCCTTAATTTCAGAAGAATTCAATTAAGTATGGATAAAGGAAACCAGTTTCTTGCATATTGCCCACAGCTATCTTGCATACTTGTGTTTGTGTGTATATACATATGCACATACATACATATGTATGTATGCATGTATATACACATACACACATATTTAAATTAGCTAGAATGGAGTCATAAAAACATTTTATTAATAATAATCAAATTTGTCCAAATGTAATGGGACATCAATGCTAAGTCTTAAAATTGCAAAAACTCAAAATTGTACTTCTTCAGTATTTAATTATTATTTATTATGATAAAGCTGCAACATATAGGAAAGTGGAGAACAAGTTACAACAGATGGTACATAGTACTTCTCAGGCTTTACCAACCTTTTCCAATGTCTATTTATAAGCTTCCACGGTCCAGAGTTGACCAGCCATATTTCTACTTCATAGAATTTCTCTTTCTTCAGCCTTTTCAGCTTCTGTTCTCTATTCCTATTTCTCTTTAATTAGGTGTTCCTTCTGTGTCCTCCCCTCTCTCTGTTTGCTAGTAATCAGCTACAAAAATGAAGAAGGCCCCAACAGACTAGTGATTTTGATGACACACATTATTTCCGGACCAAAAAACCTCATTAAGGATATGGAATGGGAGTTGTTAAAGACTTAATGAAATGTTCCTAGAGGAGCAAGAAAATCTTATTACAAGAACTTGCTAGTCATTAAGGTTTTTTTTTTTTAAAAAAAAAAAGCCTGAGTTAAAGGAAAAGTTAGGAAAATGTAAGAACTGAAATGTAAGCTTTTATTAACTACCTCTTGGAGTTGATATTATTTACTATTTATAATCTCTATTGCCCCATGATCAAACACTTCCTCCAACCTTCAATATAGCAGAGGGAGGGAATGTGGTACCTAGGATCATTTTCCTGGCCGTTATTGCTCCCTTTGATCTTTTTTTTTTTTAAAAAAAACTTTTACAATTCAAAATAAATAAGTTGGCATGCAGAGAGCAAATGCAGTAGACTCTAGCATTACAGCAATGTGATTATACAGAAAGCAGTCTATACCCTCAGATAAAACACAGAACGTATTTAGGATTATCCCATACCATTAGTGAGGGGGGCAGAGAAGATGATGGGGAACCTCATTTGCCTGCTTTTTGGCAGATGGGTGCTTTGCAGTTGGGCACTATCACCATGGCAACTCTTTCAGGAAGTGATCAGTCCCTTGATACCATTTTGTTAAGGTATTCATGCCATGTCCTCAACATTCAGAATGTGCTTTCTCCTTCCTATTAAGTTAACCTATCTTCTGGATCTGTGAAACTTTCGCACCACTGTATAAATCTTGAGTGGAAACAATTCAAGCCTTCCCTAAAGATACTTCAGTTATTCCATTCTCTTAAGCAAATGGTGAACTAACATGAATAGTAGCCCCACTGATGAGTAGTGTTGCTCTTCTAGCTGCTGTTTAGATTTTACATTTTAGTGGCTGTGAGCAAGTGAATTCAGGGCAAAATATCTGGGTTAAATGTTTTCCAATTGAGTATGGACATATAATAGCTGAATGATTCCTAGCTTTGCATCTCTATTTTTTTTTAATATTTAAATCCCCATTTTGGATATCTTGGTAGCCTTTCTTCCCTTGTTTCCATTGTTGTAAGATAATAGTCTTCTCATCATTCAAAACACCAGTTCTGAAATGTGCCATATTGCTAATGGCATTTCTTCCATCTGATAGTTCTAGTTACGTTGCAATTACAACTCCCAGTAGCATGACCCCCTTGTCTTGAGATTGTATGTACATTACTTCTAGGATGCAGCAAATTAGAGAAAGTGAGGTTAATGCTTGGGATCTGATCAACCTGATGATCTCTTCTAACCATATGGAGGTGCTCTGGCCTGGGTTGGAGAAAGTTGGAGCAGTATTTATCATTTGTGTGGAATTTCCAGTTGGAGTGGGAGGAAGCATGAAGAGAAGGGTTAAGCAAAGCAGGAAGTGGTACAGATATTATTTCTCCCCCAAGAAACCCTGAAGCCTTATCTGGCAGTTCTGAAGAAAATGCAGTCAGATTTTTGCAAATAGGCATGCAACAAATAAAGAAGTAACTTTGATCAGCTCACGGTGTCATTCTGGCTCCTTGTGCCTGACATATTTCTTATATATAAGGAAACTGTGACTCAGAGCAGCAAAGTAGATGTTTTGCATGTAACATCCTGGTTGCATTTAAGCCTTAAGTGCCTGAGCCTTTTGACTTCTTTCCCGCCCAGCCTGCATTTTTATCACACTATTTTTCCCAGTCACCACTCCATTTTTTCATACATAATTTTTATTGAAAGTTTTAAGAATAATAATTAGAAGAACTTATATACACTAGAGAGAATAGAAGAGGGGAAGAAAAACAACAGAAAAGACCCTAACATTGCAATAATAGAAGAAAGTAGAGGAAAAAGGTATAAAGAAGTAGCTTCCAGTATTCTTCACAGCTGTTATAAGTACAATTATATTCTAAGCCCTCTCTCTAAAATTATATCGTGACTCTTTTCTTTCTATAATCTATCCTGTCTAATCATCAAAACCATAAACATCAAGTTGATTTTTCCCCATTTCAGAAAGTCTACAACAGAGATCTCATTCTCACGGCCCACGGGCCAATTGCGGCCCGCAGGATGATATCCTGTGGCCCCCACCGTGATATGAAAGTATAACATTTGAGGATATTTTTTTAACAACGTTTTTTGTGGAATCCCTTATGCGGCCCAGCCTCACCCAGACTCTGCCTCCAGCGGCCCCCAGGTAAATTGAGTTTGAGACCCCTGGTCTACAAGATGTATCCAGTCACCAATAAATGTACTTAGCCACCATTCCTGGTATCTTTATGTAAAATATAGTTTGCTGTTTCTGCCAAATCTGCAAGCTATGTATCTTTATATTAAGCATGGAAGGAAGACACTGTCATGTGCAGGAAGAGGACAAAGCAAAGGAATTGGACCTGTTTCAAGTTCATATGAGAACCCTTCCAAATTCATATGGATAGTACCCAACATGCTTTCAGGTAAATGTTGAAACACCTATGGTGCCAAGAACATGCCATCAAATGGTTGAGTGACTGAAAACTCCAGTCACACCCGTAAACCCTCTGTTTCATCTGGTAGCTTGTATTCCTTGTTGATCCAAGAATAATTCAAGTGTTTTGACTTCTGCTGAGCTCATGGGGCTATTTATTTCTTTATTTCTTTAGGGATTTACATCTTGGGAAAAAATTAAAACCACAACACATGTAATTTTCTCAATTTAGGCCATGGAAAATGTTTCCTCCAGGGTATCTCTTCCCATTACTTTGCAACAGCATGTTTCTGTAGGAGATCTGTAGGAGATGCTGCCTTGTGGCTTCTTTCTTTCTGTCTTACAACTTAAAGGCGCAGTGACTTCATTTCTTCTTTCCCGAACTCTACTGAAAAACAATGGCCATGTGGTTACGAATAGTTTATAAAATACGTTCTTGAGATTTTTTTTCCTGGCTAGATCTTCTGCCCTGAATAAAGCATAATACTTGTTTGATACAGTAGGTGTGATACTTCCTGCATGCCCCAGCATGAGCTCAACCCCCACCTGCTGTTTTTGGAGACCAGAATATACACCAGTGGTGGCTAACCTTTTTGGGATCCTGTGCCAAAAATTGTGCATGCGCTTGCATGTGCATGCTCGCATGCCAGCACCCAGCAGGCAATGTGCCCCCACGCCCCTTGCGCATGCACACATAATCCCCCCGGCTGCCCCTTACCTGCACTGCACCTCACAGCTGATTTTCAGTCGATTTGGGGCCTTTTTTGGCCTCCCAGAGGCTTGAAAAAAACCTCTGCAGGCTTTGCAGGATGAATAATAGGCCCGTTTCATCACTTCCGCTTTTACAGGAAGTGACAAAATGGATCTATTATTTGGCCTGCAAAGCCTGCAGACCCTTTTTTCAAGCCTCTGGGAGGCCGAAAAAGGCCTCAAACCGGCCGAAAATCAACTGCAAGGCATGCGCATGTGCAGTGAGGTAAGTTTGCCTGCGGCTTGCGTGCCAGCACAAATGGCTCTGTGTGCCACCTGTGGCACATGTGCCATAGGTTCGCCATCATGGATATATACTGTAGTTCTCATCCCATCCCAGGCTGCAGCAAATGTAACCTCCATCCTGTGTTCCTTCACTGCCTCAAAACCAGGGTTTTCCACTTTCCAACAAAGGTGAGATAACCAACTGGTTTGTCTAGTTGTGCCTCACTGGAATCTCCGCACCTCTCTTCACTGTGATTGGCTAGTGTGCAGTGCTGCAAAAATTCCCCTCTGGGCCCTGCCTTTTACTGCCATTTTTCTTGGGCTGCTGAATTCCATCCCATTCAAAGGCCACTTTCCAAGAGTGATAAGCTGAATCTAAGGAAAGCAAGATCATATAACCTAGTACTCAGACTTTAATTGATCTGGTTATTTATATGACCAGTTTCTTATTCTTGCTGGTAGTTAAGCATTGTCAAAGTAGTTATTTGCCTTGGTTTATTTTATAATATATCTGGAAATATTGCTATTTACAGAGTTGAAGCGTTCAAAAGGCACATGTATGCAGGCAGAGCAATCAGCTTTAAAATAAAAGTCCCTGCATTGCCTTTGGTCAAAAATGGCTGCCTAATTTCTGATTAATCTGTTTGAGCTGTGCTTCAAAAGGCTGGTGGGTACCACACTTGCCTTATATAGGAACTGTTTTGAACTAAGCAAGCTCGCTGGCTTGCAATTCTACAATTGTTTTAAAATAATATTAGTTTTCTTTCCCTGGGCTACCTCCTTTCCCACTGGGCTTTTTTTCATTTGGAGCATGCTTTTCAATTCACTGCACAGATGGTATTCAGCAGGTTCTGAACAGTTCTGGAGAACTGGTAGCAGAAATTTTTAACAGTTCAGAGAACCGGCAAATCCCACCTCTGACTGGCTCTGCCCCCATCTCTTCTCTGCCTCCCGAGTCCCAGTTGATCGGCTGGGTCTTCTTTTGTTGCCCTGCACAGCAGTGGTGGGATTCGAATTTTTTTACTACCAGTTCTGTGGGTGTGGGTTGGTGGGTGTGGCTTGGGTTGGTGGGCGTGGCTTGGGTTGGTGGGCGTGGGTTGGTGGGTATGGCAGAGGAAGGATACTGTAAAATCCCCATTCCCTCCCCATCCCACTAACCTGCTTTCCAGCTCTGTTCTCCTGTGCAGGGCAACAAAAGAAGACTCAGCTGGGACTCGGGAGACAGAGAATAGATGGGGGCAGGGCCAGTAAGAGGTGGTATTTGCCAGTTCTCTGAACTACTCAAACTTTCCGCTACCGGTTCTCCAGAACTGGTCAGAACTTGCTGAATACCATCTCTCTTGCACAGGAGAACGGAGCTGGAAAGCAGGTTAGTGGGGTGGGGAGGAATGGAGGTTTTACAGTATCCTTCCCCTGCCACGCCCACCAAGCCACACCCACAGAACCGGTAGTAAAAAAAAAATGAATCCCCCCACTGATTCACTGGTAGACTGTTGAAAAGCTGGGTCTTTCTTTGCTTTTTTTAATAACTGGGCCTACGTAAATGGCGTGGTAGTCCTTACTGACCTGAGGTATTTCAAAACTGGAGTGAAACTGTTCTACCTGAAAGGACGTCATGAATGAGTGAACCATCCACTGGTGAGATTTTTGTTTGTTTAATGGATGGCTCAAGGAAAGAGAAATAGTACAGGTAGTCCTCGACTTACAACAGCTTGTTTAGTGACCATTCGAAGTTACAACAGCACTGAACAAAGTGACTTATGACCGTTTTTCACACTTACAACCATTACAGCATCCTCCTGGCCACATGATCAAAGTTCAGATGCTTGGCAAGTGGTTCATATTTAGAATGGTTGCCGTGTCTTGGAGTTGTGCAATCACCTTTTTTCAACCTTCTGACAAGCAAAGTCAATGGGGAGGTCAGATTCCCTTAACAACCGTGTTACCAACTGAACTTACCATGATATAGTCAATAGTGGATTGTGAATTTTCCTCCAGGTGATACTATAATACAGGGAAGCATATTTCTCTTCCATTTCTATACTTCGTGCAGGGCCAGAGTCAATTTCCTGCTTCTCTGTAGAGAAATGCAAAACACAATACAGCTTACTGTACATTCACTGCAACAGGATATTTAAGATAGGCCCTTTTTAACTTTCAGGGTGTTTGAAACTAGACTACTGGCAGCTTAATAATGCTGGTAAATCATTCTAGTTCTATATAAATAATTGCTTAATTCTGTAAGAATTTTCTCAGAAATAGGTCCTATTAAACCAAATAGCTTGCTTTGAAGTTGGAAAATTGCAGCAAGCTTTGTGTTTAATTCTATTAATGGGTCTAAATAGGAATGATCACAGTACTATAGTCTGATTTAAAGTCTGGATGTAACCCAGTCAGGAGTTTCTGCTATGAAAACTTTACTGAAATGAATGCACTTATATAAATGGACTGTGTTACCTTTTAGAAGAATCTGATACAGTCTCCTTGGGTTCTTCTGTTGTTTCTCTGAAGTTTGGGAGGGAAAAGAGAGTCTATTTATTTTGGGTAGCAATAAGAACAGCAGCAGCCTTTCCTCGTGTTTGGCATTTGTTTATTTTATTTATTCATTTAAAACATTTGTATAGCTACCCATCTTTCAAACAACTCTGGGCAGCTCCCAATAAGATGACATCAGATGCTCTACACTGCTGGCAGTGCATACAATACTATCTACCATATCTTGTGCTAAAATATTTGTGCTTATTATCAGGATTCTAGCTCATTAGCTGATATAATATCTGTATATCATTGCATACAAAATGGGAGTGCAAATCAGCTTTTGCTAGGTAAGATTGAATACTTTGCATCTGAGAACCTTGGTTAGTTTCAGAATTTTGTAGGTCAGGGAAAGACTTAGTGCCTTCTAGATTTTGGGACAAGCAGTTTTCACAATCCTTTACCAGTAATGATGCTGATACAGGACTGATAGAAACTGAAATTCAACATTTTTGGAAGCAATATTTGCCTTCCTTTGTCAAAGGGCCCTCATAATATTATCAACATATGAAGGAGAACACTCCTTGATTTCTCTCTGGTACAGATTAAAGAGACAGCAAGTATCACCATTTATTATTTCGGTTTATGTGCTCCCATCCAGAAGGACTCTGAGCAGCTTACATTGCATTCTTTCAGTAAGAAGATTAAAAGACAAAAACAATATAACAAAAGAGCAAACTAACAATAGCTAATCTGGTTAAGTCCCACTAATATTGAGAACAAAACGTTTGCTCGACCAATACTCAAATACAGCTCATCAGTCTGGAACCCACATTACATATCTAATATTAGCACAGTTGAGAAGGTCCAGAAATATTTCACAAGAAGAGTTCTCCACTCCTCTACTCCTTGTAGAATACCTTATGCCACCAGACTTGAAATTCTAGACCTAGAAAACCTTGAATTACGCCGTCTTCGGTCTGATCTAAGTATGGTATATAAAATCATACATTGCAATGTCCTACCTGCAAATGAATACTTCAGCTTCAACCATAACAACACAAGAGCAAACAATAGATACAAACTCAAGGTTAACTGCACCAAACTTGATTGCAGGAAATACGACTTCAGCAACAGAGTGGTCAATGTCTGGAATACTCTACCTGACTCTGTAGTTTCTTCCCCAAACCCCAAAAACTTTAACCTTAGACTGTCTACTATTGACCTCACCCCTTTCCTAAGAGAGGTCTGTAGGGGGGCTGTATAAGTGCACCAATGTGCCTACCGTCCTTGTCCTATTGTTTCTTTTATTTTTCTTATATGTACCCATTTCATGTATTCGTAACTATGTATATACTTATACCTATTATCTTGTAAGTGATTGACAAGTCAAAATAAATAAATAAAATAAAATAAAAAACACTGATGGAAGGACTTACTCTCAGGGAGTCTGTGAATGGCCCTGAGCTCCCAATTTCAGGAACAACACAGAAGGAACTGACTGGATCTTTTATATCACATTTAATTATACAGGTAGTCCTCAACGTACAACCACAATTGAGCCTAAAATTTCTGTTGCTAAGCGAGACACTTTTTAAGTTAGTAATTAGTACCATAGTTAAGTGAATCTGGCTTCCCCATTGACTTTGCTTGTCAGAAGGTCACAAAAGGGGATCAATTCAACTGTCATAAATATGAGTTAGTTGCCAAGCATCTGAAATTTGATCATGTGACCATGGGGATGCTGCAATGGTCATAAGTGTGAAAAATGGTCCCAAGTCACTTTTTTTTGGTACCATTCTAACTTTGAGCAGTCACTAAATTTACTGTTGTAAGTCAAGGACTACCTGTATTGTTGTTCTCAAGAACGGCACTATGGAAAGATGCATTTTCTTTATTCACTGCAATTCAGAGGAAGAAGTGGGAATGCTGAATATATTGAGCAAATAAAAATTGTTCTAGAGAATGAGTACAGAATATTGTTTTATGTAAATCACCATTTCAATGAAGCCGATCTGAGAGAGAAGAAGTGTTACAGATTTCTCAATGAATTCACTCTTTCAAAAATCAGTCTTCTTTTGAAAACAATCCAGATCACCTCACCAGGAAGAAATCAACATAAGTGTACACTAAAAAAGAGAAAGAGAGAGAAAGAAAGAGAGAGAGAGAGAGAGAGAGAGAGGTGGGGTGGGGGGAGTATGCCACAAAACATCTATTTGTAAAGGAAGGAAGAAGAACTGCTTTGTGTGCACACAATGGATTTGGAGGTCTAAGGACTGGCAAGAAATTCAGTGATGGCCAGTTAAAGCAGAGTGTGAATGCTGAAAAGCTTGTATTTTTGTCTTCAGTTGCTGGTTGGCTTGGGCAGAGCAGCGCCCTCTGTAAGCTCAGGGGTAACAAGCACATGGGTGGCACTTTGCAATATGTCTTTTGGATTTGGAGAAGGCAGGGATACAATGGGGAAATTGTGCATTGGGCTTGCTGTGCTGCCCCACTCACTCACACACAGACACATAACTGTGGTTCAGCGGCTTTATTAATCTTTCCCAGCAATTCCCTTCACCAAAAAACCCAGAACTATCTTAATTAAGTCTAGCCACAAACAGACCAATGTTAGTCCACAAAGCAATGGCCAAAGAATGCACAAAGCGCTTGAAAGTTTCTCAAACAAAATATATCCAGCAGGCAAATTTGAATCCACAACACAAGAGAGTTCACAAGTCAAGAAAAGTCCAGACTTTCCAAGGCACGATTCAAGTCAAGGCCCGGTGTCAATCCAAAGCGAGGTAGGAATCATCACATCGGAAAACACACAGCTAGGAAACAAACACATTGTTCCCAGCAATGTCGCCCTCCATCCGCTGTGCCAAATAGGCAGCTTCCGGTGCAGCTCATCAAGAAAGGTGAGGCTTCCTCCTCTCAAGTAGTCTGGCTGATTGTCTCTGCTTCTGCCTTTTCTCTGCCCTATCTGTTCTTGCATCAGTACAGAAGGCACATCCTCCTCCTCCTCACTAACCCTTTGCAACCACATGCTTTCCCTAGCTGGAACCTCAGCCAAATCCCTTCCAGGTAGCTGCTCAGAGCCATCAATTAAGTCAGCTCCCTGACATGCCAAGAACTGGTTCATCCTCCCCTGAGCTGACATCTAGAGAGGTATCTGTGGAATCATCCAGGAGAGTCCTCACAGTGGGCATACAGGTAGTCCTTGACTTCCAACCACAATTGAGCCCAAAATTTCTGTTGCCTTAGTGCCAAGGTTGTTCAGTGAATCTAGCTTCCTCATTGACTTTGCTTGTCAGAGGTTGCAGAATGTGATTACCTGATCCAAGGACACTGCAATCATCATAAATATGTGTCAGTGAATTTTGATCACGTGACCATGTGGATGCTGCAATGGTTGTGTGAAAAATGGTCATAAGTGCCGTTATTTCAGTGCCGTTGTAACTTTGAATAGTGACTAAACGAACTGTTGTAACTATCTATTGCAATCTGGTTGTGGTAAGGTTCAAGAAGTGATCAAATAGTATGCTGGATAAGTTTTTTTTTTCTTTTGACCAATTAGAATGGAATTATATAGGAATCAGGATCAGAGGCACGGTGGGAAAGTGCTTAAAAAGTTGTGCTGTGGCCCCAATCCATTTTCTCATGCTCAGGCTGTCATTTGGTTTGTCTTTTAGCCTCTCCAGTCTTGATGTTATCTCAATCCAAAATATCACCCCACTTAAAGAAAGATTGATTGAGTTATGAAAAGAAATTTGAGCAAATGTTTGACAGCTATCTGCAAACATCCGTATTCCAAGTAATTAATTGTCAATGAGCAACTTAATAGAAAATGTGCTGAGAGTCAAGTCAAGGTAGAGCAGGAACTAGCAGCAATAGGCTATAAATGCAGCTATGTTTTAGAGAACTGGATAAAGTTGCATTGGGGATTTTCATACTGAAGACGATAGGTAATGAATCCTGCTGTTTGCATGGTATATCACAATCTGTGGGGGCTGCAGGGAAGAAACAGAGTGTGCTGAGAACAAAATTTGATATAAAATCTAATTGTACAAACTCCTACTAAATTCATGCAAATTTTTCTCATAACTTATTTTTTCTTCCAAATCAATTCAATTACAATATACCGGCAGTACAGAATCACCAATTACCCACTCTGAATCCATGACAAATGCATATTATGAAAATTCCATAGCCACTGCAATTACTGTAATTCTTTAGGTAGAGGTCACACCTCATAGAGACAAATTTGACAACATTTGTTGAAAAGATTATTTTGATGTCTAATTATATTGTTCTCTAGAGACCCAGTTTGGTGTAGTGGTTAAGGTATTACGGCTAGAAAGCAGGAGGCCGTGAGTTCTAGTCCCAGCCTAGGATCAACCCAGCTGGGTGGTCTTGGGTCAGTCACTTTCTCTCAGCCCTAGAAAGGACGCAATGACAAACCACTTCTGAAAAACCTTTCCAAGGAAACTGCAGAGATATGTCCAGGCAGTCTTTGAGAATTGGATACAATTGAATGGAAGAAAAATAATAATTCTCTAACTAGAATAAATTCCTGCTGATATTTTGGTTGGCATTGCTTTGTCTTTTGTGACTAAAAATGTTATCTTGCCTTTTAGCCTCTCTAATCTTGATGTTATCTCAATCCAAAATATCATCCCACTGAAGGACAAAATATTGATTTCCTAAAAGCCATGGGGAATATTTAAGATAAGCTACAATTCACATCTGTTAACCTGCTTTTTTTCACTCAGGTTTGAATAGTTTAAGGTAGGAACTATAATTTAACATGTGATATAGCAAGTAAAAGATAACAAGTAGGTTTTTTTTTCTTGTCAAACTCTGTTGTAAAAAAAAAATAGTTCCATTTTGAAAACAATAATGCTGGCCAAATCTATCAAGTTCTGCTTTTCTCTTCCTTTTCTATTTACATTCTTGTGATATTTCATGAAATATCTGCTTCAAGAAATGCCTTAATGTTTGCTGTCTCTATAGTATATACAGTTCTGCTTGATCTTCAGTCTTTTATTGAA